AAACAAAATATTTTTTATTTTATTTTCCTTTAGTTTTTTGTTTATGTGGCTGTATATCTAGAACAACATTTTCTACTAAACAAAATGAAAAATTGCATGCACAATCTTAACGTTGCATTGCTTCGGGCCTCACGGTTCTGATGCAGTAATGAACTCTGTAACAAAGATTTGTTGTTTCTGCTCACGTCGTGCAGGGAGGTGGTTGACTCCATGGTGCAGCACTTCAAGGTGACAATCTTTGGAGATCGCAGGCCAGTTTATGATGGAAAGAAGAGTTTGTACACAGCCAACCCACTGCCTGTGGCACCCACAGGGGTAAGACTAAAAAAAAGTCACGTAATGCAAAGATTTAAGTGTTAAGAACAATAGACTTAGAATCAACCAAACCATGAAACCCACCCTCAATCTTTTCTGTGTTACATCTCAGGTGGACCTTGACGTCACTCTTCCAGGCGAGGGYGGGAAAGATCGTCCCTTCAAAGTCTCCATCAAGTTTGTGTCTCTGGTCAGCTGGCACATGCTCCACGAGGTGCTGACCGGCCGCAGCATGCCCGAACCCCTCGAGCTGGACAAGCCCATCAGCACCAACCCCGTTCACGCAGTAGACGTGGTGCTCCGACACCTCCCTTCCATGAAGTGAGTTGTGGTGTTTTATTTTTTTCATCTAGACCTCTGGGTTCTCTCTAATCCCTTTTTTTTATTTGTCCACGATTAAAGAATTCACTTTAACACATCACTAACCCACTTTGAATAGATTTTCAGCACCTTTTAATTCAATATGTAGACTTAAACCAATAAACACGATCCCTCAAATACACAGAGTAAATACCGTATTTGTGTTTTCATAGCGGCACCAGTATCAGCACTCTGATCCAAACGGAAATCAAACACGTCTTTTATGGGCTCTCATAAAACACCACACCGTCCTCCACTCAATATCACTTTCCCGAGGCTCAGAAAAGACGCAGCCAAACACAACATTGTCTGAGCTGTAATGAAAATCTCTTTCAGAGGATTATTAAAAGGTGCTTTTTATCAACACCTTTCATTTAGTTCTGCTCACAGGTGCTGTAGGCTTGGTATTACGTTGGCATCCTGACAGACTGTCGGCGTATAATTCAGTGTAAAAGTTGCCGTGTTATCAATGCATCTTTTGTGCAGGGTAATAAAAGGTTGACTAAAGGTTGAGGCAATCTGTCGAATCACTGTTGTAGAAGATAAGTGACACCTGTTCAACACATTGTGACCTACATTCTCAAGTCAGGATGTCATTTTACTGTTATTTCCTGTCACATTTGGTTCTCATCCTCATCTTTTTGTCTTTTATATTTATGACTTTTAATTTTCTAACACTTTTTAATCTCTTAGCCTTTTTTAAAGCTTAATTCTCCTCTCCATTCAGGTACACTCCAGTTGGTCGTTCGTTTTTCTCAGCTCCTGAGGGTTACGACCACCCTCTGGGAGGCGGGAGGGAGGTTTGGTTTGGTTTTCACCAGTCTGTGCGTCCTGCCATGTGGAAGATGATGCTAAACATTGATGGTGAGAGACGAATTCTGCTGTTCTTTGTTCTGAAAGTATTCGTTCCCTGCTTCCTAAAACACTGCGTGATTTTGAACATTTTGAATAAAGCTTTTCATATTTAGAAATGATCAAATATTCACAGGAACCAGAAATGGGATTTTTCTTGTCTGTTGATGCACAGAAATGGATTTTACTGTTCCTCTCACAGCTGGGGAAATGAGATTTTAATTATTGAACAGATACATTAGAATGACATGGAGACTCTTTGCTATTAAGTATTTTTTCTCCCAAAGATATACTTTTGATATATTTGTTCAGAATGGAATCAGATCTCCACTTGCTGTTAATTTTACAATAATGTTTGTGGGAAAATATTGGCCAGAATTCAGCTAATCTCATTTTTCTATATACTTCTCTGTTAATTTCTTAAATTGTAATTGTGCGAGAAGCAGTCTGGAAGAGAAATGTTTTTATACTTGTTCGGTCCAAGTGCTGGTTTTGGATCCTGTGACGAACTTAGCACCAGTTGTCTCCGTTTCAGCCACCAACGCACTGAACCCAGGCCCAAAAAAACAAAMAAAAAAAAAACTGATTGTACAGCAGCACCAAATCTGTGCAGCACCAGATCAAAGAGCTGGTTATGTTAAAGGTTAGGGGTGGRATTTAAGACTAAATAAAACTTTGAGCGCTGAGTTTAAAAATTGATTGTTTTCCAGTCCGGGACAGCTTTAAATAAAGAGCCGGAATGTTGGAACGTGGTTTCTTGGCTAAATGCGAACTGTTGGTGTGTGTGTGTGTGTGTGTGTGTGTGTGTGTGTGTGTGCGTGTGTGCGCGCATGCATACTTTTGCCTGGATGACTGAGGTTGGTGGGGTCAGCAAAGCTATGTGGGGCATTTCCTTGATACAGCTTTTGTACTGGTCTGTTTTTGAGTCTTTGCCAAGACTTTCTTTTTAAATTTTCTCTTTCTTATTTTCCTGCTCTCTCATCAKTTATTTATCAATTGGCTACCTCAAATCTCTTGTCTGCGTTCCATCATCAAGTAGAGCTGGTGTAGAAACTGGAGTCTAGTGTTTGCAAATCATTCAGTAAGGTTTGAGTATTAGAAAATTTATTTAAATGAGCTTTTGTGCCAGTTATACAAAAATTCTGCATCTCATTTGCATTGTAATGAAAAGTATGTATATTTATTTGTGTGTGTGTATTTATTCCACTTAGTACAACAAAATCTGAAACACAATTACAAACAGCAAACTGAGTGGAAAAAGGAGCAGGAATGTGTAATCACAAAGAAATTCAACTGTTTTAATGTGCGCGTCAGGCACCTTTTACATGCAAAGCGAGAACTAGGGGTGTCCTGATAAGTTTTTTTTACCATTATTTCTCTTGCAGATGTTTCCAATGCAGCTCGACAGCAGATCTTTTTCTCTTAAGTAATTCTTGATCCTATTTTTTGYCTTCCAGTCTCTGCCACAGCTTTCTACAAAGCCCAGCCAGTGATCCAGTTCATGTGTGAAGTTCTGGATATCCACAACATCGACGAGCAGCCTCGCCCTCTCACAGACTCTCATCGGGTCAAATTCACCAAAGAAATCAAAGGTGAAGCAGGGGATGTGTGTGCGAACTGGGGTTGAACTTGCTTTAACGTTCGTGTGAAGAGGGGCGGGTTTGAGCTAGATTAGCTTGAGCACACGCCACAGACCTTTTCCATGTTACTACAACGCTTTGGTAATATTCTCCAGGTTTAAAGGTGGAGGTGACACACTGTGGAACGATGCGGAGGAAGTATCGTGTTTGCAACGTGACCCGCCGGCCTGCCAGCCATCAAACGTGAGTCAGCCTCGTGGTGTGGAAGAAAACAGGAGACTCTGGGCAGMACGTGGGTTTGGGAGGGGACGCAGGGAACACGAACCAAAAAGAAGCCAATCCAACACCAAGAATAACTGCCTACTCATCGGGCAATWATGCAGTCAACATTAGTCATCTATTACTGAATGAATTATTTTGCAGCAGCTGATGTTGTGTTCAAATATTCTGAGCTTGTTTAATTAAAATACRAAGTTATCAGTTCCGATAAACTGGTGTCATTTTTGCTTTTCTCAGGTTCCCTCTGCAGTTGGAGAATGGTCAGACTGTAGAACGTACAGTAGCCCAGTATTTCAGGGAAAAGTACAACCTGCAGCTCAAATACCCACATTTGCCCTGTCTACAGGTGGGCCAGGAGCAAAAGCATACCTACCTGCCTCTGGAGGTGAGAGAAAACAAACTTTTTTTAGTCCACTCRGTAATCACGTCGGACTTTAATAATTTAATAGCATCATTTACTTTGTAATGATTACAGTTTTTTTGTGTTAAATGTCAAAAATGGGAAATAAAGCAGCTGCTGGAACATTGAWAAGATGAGCCTTCTGGAAGTCCCTCCCCGACTAAATAATAAATTTAAATGCTGCTCCCTTTTTATTTATTTCAGGTGTGTAACATCGTAGCTGGTCAACGGTGCATTAAAAAGCTGACAGATAATCAGACCTCCACAATGATYAAAGCCACAGCTCGCTCTGCACCTGACCGGCAAGAGGAGATCAGCAGGCTGGTGAGTTTTCAGTCACTGCCTTTTTAAGTCGAAAGTTTCTTTTTGAACTGATGCATCCTTTAAAATGKAAATTTTATTGTCGAATAAGAAAAGCTAATATCTGAGGTCAAAGGCTACAATTAGTGGAAACTAAATTGAAGACAAAAACAATCTGTGTGAACAGAAACTCTTTGTGCTTTAAAGTTACCATTGAACAGAAATGCAGTGAGAATATAGAATCTTTAAAGGGATCCCCGATTAGTTGTAACATTAGACTTTATTTAATCAACATATGTTTTAACTGTAAAATAAAGACTGTAAAATACTGTAGGATGTTTAGTTTTTCTAATTTTTAAACTAAAAGTTTAAAAATATATTACACGGACGGGGCCGTTTTATTTACACGCAAAGCATTCTGGGTAAATGATGACGTGGATAGGTCCTCGGTGCGAGGCTGCTAGCGAGCTATATCCACCCTGAAGGTTAATCTTGGACAATATCTGATGATCGACTCTTTTAAATGAAACCAGAGAGCGTTGACAGAGAGGAGAAGGTAGAAATGACTCAGCCTGTAACTGAAAATATGGATGGAGGACCTCAGTTTAGCTTGTTTGTCGCGCTAGCGCTGAGCTAATACATATAAGGCAATATAGCGTCAGTGCTAGCACAAAGGCTAACAGACTAAGCTGAGGTTCTTCTTCCATGAAGCAGCTCTGTTGTCCTCCATCCATATTTTCAGTTACAGGCTGAGTCATTTCTACCTTCTCCTCTCTGTCAACGCTCTCTGGATTCATTTAAAAGAGTCGATCATCAGATATTGTCCAAGATTAACCTTCAGGGTGGATATAGCTCGCTAGCAGCCTCACACCGATGACCTATCCATGTCATCATTTACCCAGAATGCTTTGCATGTAAATAAAATGGCTTCATCCATGTTAAAGAATATATTTTAAAATTTACAAAACTAAACAGCTACAGTATTTTTATGGTCTTAATTTTACAGTTAAAATATATGTTTATCAAATAAAGTCTAAAGTTACAACTAATCGGGGATCCCTTCAAAATGAAGCTGTCACTTTTATGGGAAGTTCATTCTCTCAAAGTTTTGACGCCGTGCTGCTCCTGATTTTATTAAAAGACTAATTTAATAATCACCTCACCTCTCATTTTATGTTTTTGTTTTTTAATACCAGAGGCATGTCTTTGTGCTTTTCTATCACACTAGGCAATTACAGTGCAAATCTGCCCACGGACAAAAAAACAGCCTCATTCCAAATGGCTTTTAATACAAATCTCCTACAGTGTCTGCAGCATTTGTTTATAGAAAGTGAAAAACGGCCTGCCTCTGGCTCCAATGAGATTAGCTATACACATTTAATGTGTCGTTAGCTTATTTAACCATGTCCCTCGAGCTGTTGTCTAAGAAGCAAAATGATTGGAGTTCAGTACAACAAATCMTGATAAACATGACYGTGTTTCCATGCACCGCTGGCTGGATGGCATGGTTGAAGCATGAACCGATAAGTTGTGCCTGTCACAACTACGTAATAAATTCTGTATTACATTTGGATATCCTAATAGAGTTTCAATAAGGTCCTGAAGACTGGTATTATGTTTCACAACTTTTCCATCCTTACTCGTCTTCACAATACAAAATATGGAATTACAAGTTCTATTAATATTATTACTGCTGGGCGTGTTAACGCAGCCCACATTTAACAGCCATAATTTTTTAATGCACATTATATTTAAATACAGTATCTCCGTTCACTGGCTATAAACACACAAACCTGGTATGAGGCTGATCGGCATGAAGGGGGAAAAAAAAAGTAAAACAGTTTTTGAGCTCTAATTATTATATAATCAGACAGTCATGCTGACTTTACACTTATTACAAATAAGCATGCAAAAGCATGTTTAGTGTTCAAACATATGAATGGAGGAATAACAAGCTTCTTAATTTAAACAAAATAATCCGCAGTTAGTTGAAAAAGGAAACGTCAGATGTTTTAAGATTTCTGCCTCCTCCTCTTCGCAGGTGCGCAGTGCCAACTATGAAGCCGACCCGTTTGTCCAAGAGTTCCAGTTTAAAGTGCGCGACGAGATGGCCCACGTGACGGGGCGAGTGCTACCCGCCCCCATGCTGCAGTACGGCGGCAGGGTGAGCACTGAGCACTTTATGGTACCCTTCTTTTAAATCACGCCCATTCTCTCTGTTTGTCTGACACGCTTTCCCCTTCTGTTTATGTGGGGGACTAACACACTGGCTTCTGTTTGTAATTCAGAGTTTAATTATTTAATTATTTGTCTTTTTTGACTTGTATTATAAATCTTGTTAATATAACCTTTTTTTTTTTTTACGTTTCCAAAAGAATAAAGTGTAGGTGCTAAAGTTGTTTTAGAATATCTTTTTTTAAATGACTAAATTGTAATTGCTTAACTTTTCTGTAAGAAATAGATTTACTTTATAAAAAAAATCGAGGCAGCTTATTGACACTAAACTAGTTTTAACTAGAGAAATCGCATTTCCTGTGAAAATGCATGCTGAAAATGTAAGCTGAAAGCTGCTGAAATTGAGCTGAAAATATTTAATAGGAAAATGTGAGMTCACTTTGAAAAACTGAAAGAAGCAAAAAAGCCTAACTTTGCAGAAAAACAGTAAAAAGAAGCACAAATGTAGTTGAAAACAGAACAGCTAGAAGCTAAGAGCTAAAATAGCTGAATATAGCTGAAAAATTCTGTAAGAAGCATAAATAGCACTAGGGAGCTGTAAAAAAATATTAAAAGTAGAAAAAGGCAGAATAATAGCTAAAGTGGCATAATGTAGCTAAAATTAGCATAAAATGAGCTAAAGGTAGCAGCCACAATTTGAAATTRGCACCCAGTTGAAATAGTTATAGTTGAAAAATAACTAAAACAGAAAAAGGCATAAAATTACATAAAAATGATAATTCGTAGTAAAACTAGACATGGGTTTTTACGATGTAAAAACAAGTGTGCATTGCCATGTAGCRTGTCATTGCAGCATGGCTTTGCCTGCAGCAGTGGACTTGCAGAATKAACTGTGACCAAGTTCAAATGTGTTTTCTATAYCARTTTGTGCCTGTCAAGTCAGCAGGTGTTTGCAATTATGGTAATTGTGTGATAATATGAAGTTTGTAGTGATTTTTTTGTTAAAGTTGCTGTAGCTGGGTTTTGAACCCAGATCTCCCACATGAAAGCCCATAGAGTTAACCATTAGACCATTGGAGCTGTGGCAGATGGTTCTGCCWAGGGTTGGCTTGTATTTGTGCAGAAAGAGGCCACATTGCCAATGCAATTGTTGACGCTTAACTGCATAATATTACAACAATAGAGTAATATTAGGACAAGATTTTTGTAAAACGTCAAAATACAATCATATTAGTATTGTAATCACTGAACTACTGAGTTTAAATATTATTAAACTATGGTTCAGTACTGAGTATATACAGCAAGGTATTGGACCAATACAAGGCTCCATTGACTGCCATTATATGATTTTAAACATTAATATTTCAAAAAGTCATTATTTGGCACAGGAGCTTTACAGATATAAATTAAAATGGCAGCTCTAGGACAAAGTATGCAGGAGGAGAAGAGTGCCAAAGTGGAGATGACTTGGATGGGAAACGAGTCACAATAGTGTGGCAATGCACACTGATAACTAAAACAGCTGAAATTTTCAGTAAAACAGCTAAAAAGTAGCTGGAAATTATTTAATTAGCATAAGGAGCACAAGTTTGCTAACCTTAGCTGAAAAAAGTTGCAATAGCTACAAACATGTGTATTTAGCTTATAAAATCTAACCTTAGCTAATAGCAGCTAAACATTAGCTAAAATTTCAGCAAATACTTGAATATAGCAGAAAGCATCTCCAAGAAGCATAAATAGCACAAAGTAACAGAAAAAGGCAGAAAAAAGTAGAAAAATCAGAAGAATAGAAAGAAGTAGAATTTTAGCTGAAACAGCAGAAAAAAGCTAAAATTAGGCAAAAAAAGTAGCTAAAATTAGCACAAGGAATTAAAAAAAAGAGCATAACCAGAACAAAATGTGTAAGGTGCTGATTTAAAAACATTTTACATTATTTCAAGGATGTTGAAAACAGCTCCATTCATTTTCAGTGGCTAAAAAAATATAAATAGCTGAAATACTAAAAGTCATAGCACCCCTCACATGAATGAGCTGAACGTTTTGTTATAKGAACTGCTGAAATAGCGCAAAAATTGTGGAACGAGTTGGATGCCGAAAAACATACGGATGAAAAAAATKATTTCAATTGTGTGAATGCGATGAAGCATTCACACAATTAATGCTTAAAGCAGCTTTAAATATTTTTACTCAGTATTTAAACTGTAAAGTAGCTATTTACAAAATACACCTTACCTGCTTTATTGCATCCCAGCTAAGATATAAGATGTAGTATTATATTAAAACTTTAAAAGTAGTAGTTGTCTCTGTCTTGTAGAAACTCACACATGCATGTTTTGTTTCTTTTGTTTTTATGTCCAAGAGTGAATTCATGTGCAGACGGGTGGGGAGAATGCAGAATGCATGGTCGTTTGTGTGTTWGTTTGTTTTTTACTTCTGACTGAGGTTGCGTTTGTGCTTCTGATTGTTTAAGCGCAAGTGCTGTGAGCGCGAGTTCTGTTTGTGCTTGTGCGATCTTCAGTACGTATGCTGAGACTGTGATGTTGTTCCAGAACCGCACTGTAGCCACACCCAGCCACGGGGTGTGGGACATGAGGGGCAAGCAGTTCCACACTGGGGTGGAGATCAAGATGTGGGCTATTGCCTGCTTCGCCACACAGAGGCAGTGTCGGGAAGAAATTCTCAAGTGAGATTTTTTCTTTCGATGTGACACCCAGTGTAAAAAAGAAAAAAACAACAACAAAAAAAAAAAAGAAACTTACCGCAGTCATTTGAATATATTAGTTAGTTCCACCTAATTTATCTGTTTTTCTTATCAATATCTACACTGCAGATCTGGTTTTATGATCATATAGTCAGTGAGACAACTAACAGATCATTTGAAGTTTGAAACACTGCAAGAGCACTTAAAATTTCTAAGTCCTCCAAAATATTTGTTTGAGGAAATGACATCAATGTGATTATTATTATATTACTATTATATGTGAATATCATTACTGTATGGATTATTGTGTTATTAAATTAAGTCCTTTTACTCGCTTTCGTCACTTATACAGGGGTTTCACAGACCAGCTGCGTAAAATCTCAAAGGATGCTGGGATGCCCATCCAAGGCCAGCCATGCTTCTGTAAATACGCCCAGGGAGCCGACAGCGTGGAGCCCATGTTCAGACACCTAAAGAACACCTATGCCGGACTACAACTCATCATCGTCATCCTGCCCGGGAAAACTCCAGTCTATGGTTAGAAAACGGCTCAGCCGCTAACATGTTTTAGTCCAGAGGTGCACTTCCAGCTGTGCAAAAACAAATAATAAAAATAAAAAAATTAAATTGTCTTTGGTGACACCTCTATAGCGGAGGTGAAACGAGTGGGAGACACTCTGCTCGGCATGGCGACCCAGTGTGTTCAGGTGAAGAATGTAGTGAAGACGTCGCCTCAGACGCTCTCCAACCTCTGCCTCAAGATCAACGTAAAGCTGGGAGGCATAAACAACATCCTGGTGCCTCATCAAAGGCAAGTCCTCTAACTCTTCTTAGTTTACTTTATCGTATGCATTTGAAATGTTTCTACAATATGTTTTTAATCAGTTTTTAAGAGCGTTAATCATTATACAGTTTGTTTCCACTCCTCCTAATGCCAATTCTTAATCCTCAGACCGTCAGTGTTTCAGCAGCCAGTTATCTTCCTGGGAGCAGATGTCACACATCCACCAGCTGGAGACGGGAAGAAGCCTTCAATTGCAGCGGTCAGTTTAATCTATAACTCACAACACTGACATTGCAACATTTTTACCTTTTTTTTCCTTCTGATTCATCATCGTTGCCCCTTCTCCTCTTCATTTATCTCTTCCAGGTGGTCGGCAGCATGGACGCCCACCCCAGCAGGTACTGTGCCACTGTGCGTGTCCAGAGACCCAGGCAGGAGGTTATCCAGGACCTGGCCTCTATGGTGCGGGAGCTGCTCATCCAGTTCTACAAATCAACCCGCTACAAGCCGACCAGGATCATTTTCTACAGGGACGGAGTTTCAGAAGGCCAGTTCAGACAGGTTTGCTGCCGTTTCTCCCTTTAAAAATAAAGCTTTACTGTTACTCAGCAGGTGAATTAAACACCAGGTTACTGTCAAAGTTATGTTGTCAAAATGAGCTCAGGTTTGAAAATGTAGTGTTGAAAATGTTTGAATATTTACATTTTATTTAATGTTTTATTTTCTTAGAAATGTAGTTTTTTGATGCAAAGCTAAAGCTTTTATATTAAAAGAATGATTGTGAGATGAGGTTTCTTAAGTATTCCTAACAGTTAATTAGGTCCAGTAGTAGGAACACTACTGTTGATTTGCTAGACGTTTAGTGGTTTTTGTAACCCTGCAGTGCCAAATGTCTGAGACAGTAACAGAAGCTGCTACATTAATTGGGTCCTGCCACAGCTTTAGTGTTTGTGCTTGAATTGTGTGTAAWATAATCAGCTGTTTATATTATGATAAAAGCTAAACTCTTTGTTGGAATAAGTGTGTACAGCAACCTCTAGTGGTACATTTCTATCATTTGCAGAAATGAACTGAAAGCTGATCACATTCCCTTTTTGTTATTAGTTTTTCATATGCAGTGAAGTGTTTGTTGTGTACTTYTACACCAGTTATTTGAACTTCTAAGAATGAATTTACACAGTTTCATTTAATTGTTTTATTTTYCCCCTCATAAATACCTCATGCAGAGTTTTCTCTTCTAACTCAGGTGCTGTACTATGAGCTGCTGGCTATCCGTGAGGCCTGTATCAGCCTGGAGAAGGAGTACCAGCCAGGCATTACCTACATTGTTGTGCAAAAACGCCACCATACACGCCTCTTCTGCGCCGACCGCAACGAGAGAGTAAGTTACCAAYGCACGTGCTCAAAAGAGGAGGGAGCGGGGCACGGAGAAAAACCCTGCAGAGCTCTTTGAATAGAACAAAAATAATTGTTCCTATTAAACTTGGTCAATATTGCTTTTATGCCTCCGCTCCTGTGAAAGCATTAAAAGCAGTTTTGTATTTTCATGGTTTGCTGTCCGTCCASTTCTTGTGTGAAGCAATTATGCAAAGAAAATGTCTGCATTTTTGGCTGAAGTTTTCCATTTCACTCAAGGATGTACTGTGATTTTACAAAAATGTAAAATAAACACAGCTTTGGTCTTTTAAAGTTACTTTTTGAAAACGTGAGAAAGCTTTACACAAATATAGAGGATGATGTCATTTGCTTTTTTATTACAAATGAGTAGTAGGGCTGTGTATTGGCAAGAATTTGGTGATGCAATACATATCATAACAGAGGGGTCACGATACGATATATCCCGATATATTGCGATACTGTAAGCAAGGCAATACATTGCGATATATTGCGATTTTTTTTGTCCAAAAAATTCTATTAAATAAAAACCTCTTACTGAAAAAAAAAGCTAATGTTTACTTACAATGCTTACATTGTCTCCTACAATGCTAATGCTACCCTTACTCTCTGGCGCTCAAGAGGTAGAGGAGCCAAATGGCTGGCTCACTGCTGCCAACTAGTGGTCAGAGGCTGAACTACAACATAAAAATGAACAGTTGGCAAGAAGGTCGACATTTTAAACCTTAATTAAAAATCGATACAGGGCTTTAGAATATCGATACAGTATTGGGAAATGAAATATCGCGATATTTCAGTGTATCGATATTTTCTTACACCCCTACAAATGAGAGCCAACAAGTGTTGCTTTAGAGCTAATGATGGGTGTTGTGGTTTAACTGATGTTACCTCTGCATTATCAGATGTTTGATGATGTAATTAAACTGAGCAGAGTTGAAGAGCCACTGCAATGTGCTGATACATCCCTGAATTTTGTAATGCCATATGTGCATTTTACTATATGAAGGGATTTATGKGTAACAATAAAAAATGTTTATATTGTCAAACGTTTTCAGGATTTGATTTATGCCTGATTTAGAGAATCAGTTCAGAATCAGTTCATTTATCATGAATGTGAAGAAACTGAAAACTTGCCAGTTGCTRAAGTTGTACAAGGAGATCGTTCTAGTTTATGCTCTTTATTAGCACAATAAGTACTGAAAATGGTYGTCTTTATTTACCCTTTTTGTAGATAATTGGACTGTTACCCCTCCTAACCTGTGTAATTGCATTCGATTTAAGCATTAGGCCCAACCCAGACCAATAGCTCTGAAGGGGCACTCAGTGTCTCCTGAGTAAGACCAACTCAGTAATAACCTGATTTTTTTTCCACAGGCATTTTCGTGCAGAGCACTAAGCTCTCAAGGGCTTTATGAATATAATTGGCTGTTTTGGGAAGAACGGGATGAGCATTTTTAATGGTTGCGCCATCATTTTTTAAAAATTTTATTGGTAGAATTTTTACATTTTTTATCATATAGTGCTTTAAAAGTTTTTCTGTTTGTTTGCTTGTTTGCATGCTTTTATTTATTTATTTATTTTATTTACCTGGCTGTATTATGGACTAACTGTTATGATCTTTGCTGTGTAAGGTTGGACGCAGTGGAAACATTCCTGCTGGTACTACTGTGGATACGGACATCACACACCCCTACGAGTTTGATTTTTACCTCTGCAGTCACGCTGGAATACAGGTTAGAACATCTTATTTAAATTTCCTTATATTCACAATCTGCTGCCATTTTGTCACATACTTTTCAAAAAAAATAATAATAATAATTTGAGTGCCTGTCTGGTTTGTTCCAACTACCACAAATCTTTCTTCTTGTTTTAAGATGAGGTCATTTGACCTAATCACTTCTCTTGTCAACGCACCGTTTGTCTCTTCGTCCTCAGGGCACCAGTCGGCCCTCCCACTACCATGTACTGTGGGATGACAATTGTTTTACTGCTGACGAGTTCCAGCTGCTCACCTACCAGTTGTGCCACACCTATGTGCGCTGTACCCGCTCAGTTTCCATCCCTGCACCTGCCTACTACGCCCACCTGGTGGCCTTCCGTGCCCGCTACCATTTGGTGGACAAAGAGCATGACAGGTAAAAAATAAAATGAAATTGCCCAGCTTTGTTTTTCAGCTCTGGATGTTAGATCCGTGTACTTTTTTGGTCATTTTGATTTTCGGTTTAAAAACTGGTGGGTGTTCTAGTTTAACACTGTAATGACAACTCAACGTTGTCCTTGGTAAACCTGCTATGGCTTTAAGTTCTTCACCATGGACCTAATTTCCTTCTGGGATCAAAGTATTTTTGAATTGACCTCTTGGAGAAAGGTTTTGTGTACTAAAACCACCAGACGCTCCAGGGAATTGTTTGAATCAGATGACACCTGTTGATGAAAAAAAAAGTAAAATTAGTCATTATTTATTGCCTGGTTATAAAGTTAAATGTGCTTATTTATCCTGTTATCAGACCATTTTAAGATGGAGCTAGGTAAATATTTTTTAAAGAAAATAGCTTGACTAGCTATATTATACGGAGCCCGCGAGGGGACATGGGGGGATTTTTTTTCCTTTGCGTTCCCACGCAATACTATTGCGTTACCTTGCAAAATTGTTTTGTGTTCCCACGCAAAAGATTATTTTGTATGTGAACTGAATTTAATCAGACTTTTATTTTGAAATATCCGGTTACCAAAAYAGGATGTATCGCCACAAGTTCGTGAAATTGATATTGATGTTGCGTGGCTGCACTGTGTTAAAATATCGGCATATGACATACTTCCATGCGTAGCTGTGATATATTCATTCTGAAGCTGAATTAAAGCARTAGGCTAACTCGCTAATGGTGAACATGTGAGTTTGTTAATAAACCRGCAGGCACAACAGTGATAAATGATTTTTGCGAGGGAACGCCAAAGGTATTGCGAGGTAATGCAATACTTTTGCGTTGAAACGCAAAAAGTAAAATAATCCCCCATGTCCCCTCGAGGGCTCAGTAATATTAAAACAATACTGTCGGAGGTTGGATTTAAAAAAAAAAAAAAGGCAAAAATTATTAGCGAACAATTTGTTTATTTACAGACAACCACCTGTTAATGTTATTTAACTATATTCATCTTAAATGATCTGATAATGATGACGTTTAATTTTTGGTTTAAGAAAAATAAAACGATGGACCATTTTCTCATTTTTGGAGTATAAAATGAAAATGGAAATAACATAATAACCATCTGTTTTTCAGTATTTGTTTTGAATAAAGTCTGTTTGCTACAACCGGTCATTTTTCTGTCCGCAGCGCTGAAGGCAGTCATGTTTCTGGTCAGAGTAACGGTCGTGATCCCCAGGCGCTGGCCAAAGCTGTTCAGATTCACCACGACACTCTGAGGACCATGTACTTCGCCTGAGTGAACAACCACCACCTTCTTCAAACATTACCCCCTTTAACACACACACAAACACACAAACACAAAAACAGCCATGCACGTCTGGCTCGCCAGTCAAGAAGTTCTCACAGGTGCATGTCCCCCCCCCACACACACACACAACATGCCTAGTCAATGTGGACCTGACACTGTGCAGAGGATAGCAGGGAGGAGCGAGGGGAGAAGGCACCCCCCCACACTGGACTGAGGATGCAATCGCTGCTTTAAAAACAAACAGGACAGAAACTCAGCACTATTATGCAATATTAAACCAGCCAACTAGTTTATTTCCTCTCTTATTAGGCCCCTTTTTAATRTCCCCTCCTGTTTTTTTTTTCCCCTCCCGTTTGTCTCCTAAAGGTGTTTTTATCTTTGTTTCTTTTTACGTTTCCCCTCCTCTGGCGTGGACCTTTTTTTAATAGTTTATTCTGCTCTTTTTGCCATTTCTAGTACCTCAAGTCRGTTTGAGCAGCAGCACTTTTACATTCTTTCTATTTTACTGTAGTTTGTTGAAATTCCCCAACCTTTTGAAACTTCAGTCRTCTTGGAGTACAGTTTTACAGACCGCAGGTCCTCCCACGTTGCCACTTTTTTTTTCTCTTTCCTTTTGTCACTTCTCATTAGTTTCTTGTTTGAGACAAATATTTTTGAGCACACTGCCATCTGTTGGCGACGAGGTATAAATGCCCCCCCCTGAAGTCACAAGTCAAACCAGTCGGTTGTCTTGTTTGAACTGGTGCAGTTTATATTGGCTGATATATCAATTGCTGAAATGCAACCATCTATGGGGTATGTTTTAAGTGTAAACACTGTTTTTAATCTAGTTGTTTCTTCATTATGTGAAATGTTTTATGATTTTACCTTTTTTTTAATGACTTTATTATGTAAAGCTTTTTGTTTTTATAATCTCAGCAATCATCATCCATTCATTTCCCTCAGTGCTTTCTTTTACATTTCCCTTTTGTGTTCGAGACTGGGGATAAATTAGGTTTAGATAATTAGATTAACGGTGTCAACGGTTTCCTTTTAGTGCAATAATCAGTTGGGCGAAGGGACGAGGATTTTAGGGGACTTGAACGACTCGTAGCAGTTAAATATTTCATTAGTTTCCTCACGAGGACAAATGTTTTGCCACTTCTTCTTTTTTTTTTTGCATTTCTTTTCTGTGAGTCAAACGAGCAGCACATTTATTATTTTTTTTTACCTTTTCCTTACTGTTAGGTTAAAATGTTGCAACAGTTTCAGTGATTTGTGTTTTTTACTTGAACTGAAGGATTTAATGCTCCCCTGTGGTTTCAGACTATGTTTGACCTTTCGAACTCCTGTTCAATAGTTTTTCACCTGACGACATCAGAGTGGAGTATTAAGGCCATAATGACGTAGTATTCAAGTGCCTGGCAGAAAGCTTTGATTGTCTAAAGTTGTTTCCCTGATCAAAAGTTATACTCCAACATATAAGCAGGATTTTTTTTGAAGCAAGAACGTTTTCACCTGATGCCTCTCATTCTTATCATCCATCTACTGACTATACATCTCATTCAGATGTCCTATAGATCAAAGTGTGTATTCTAAATGCCTGTAACATGAGTGTTGGCTTTGCTTCGGAGCGTTTTTATTATTTTTTTGCCTAATTACAAAGACATGAATCCAGCTGCTACATTGTGTTTATGGGGGGGAATACAAGTAGACTAGGCTTAATGGGCATGGAGTTTAGCCAGTTCATTCRGTAACATTTTTCACTTAATAGAAATTACAAGTCCACAAAACGGTGAAATTCCTGCCCATGTAACTAGCCGTGAATCGGGACTTGCTTCAAAGCGCGGCAGAGGAGTCGAGCGGAYGACGGGACAGCTACAGCAGAAATATGACTTTTACGTCGCTCGTGCCTTATCGGCGTCAAAAAGAAAACCCAAGAGACCAAACGGAGGTGGCTCGCTGCGGGATCGGCRCGTGCGCGCCACACCTCCCTTCTGCTTGTTGGCTTGAAAAGCGTCGTGCRGAAAGAGGTTTCGGTTCGCTTTTCTCCTCTGCTGACGACCTGGAGCTTGTTGGGGGTGTGTGTGTGTGTAGGGGGGTGTTTTTAAGAAAGTTATCTGCACTAAAAGAAGCATGTGTTTCTGGACTGAACACAGGCATGGTGCTACTCTAAGACATTGAGCTGAGCCTCTGTATAAGAGACTATGAGCAGGTAAAGGTAATGAAAAAACAAACATTTAACCTCACTAACGGAGGGACRGGAGAGGGTGCTTCAGAAACATTTAGATTTATAAGTTTTATACCTTTTTAGTAAGATTAGCGWAGGTGCATGATTTTAATTTGGTTTAGATCAGCGTTGAGAGTTTTTATTCGGTACAGCAGCTGGTGTTTGATTGGACGGTGGGGTTTAAAGAAGGCTCCTGCCTCTGTTGSATTTGACTGCCTTCCACTGTGGATGCCAGTGGGTTTGAGCCTTTGTTGTTTCACTAGTATCTGAAAGCCTTTTTAAAAAGCCAGAATAAAAATATATTTGTACATTTTAAGTTATGTAATGCACACCACTTATTTTTGCTAACAGGAAAAAAATGTAATCTAATTATCAATCTTAGTAATAAATGTATCATGAGAAGTAATAGTTAAAAAAATAACAAAGTTTTATTATTGCAACTGACTGTTGACTTGTTCCTGTGTCAGTGTATAATGTATAGTATCCTGTATGTGTGAACAGTGGTGGGCTTGTTGGACCTAGTGACGTGTGTTTGGACTCATCCTGTTATTGATAGGAGATGAGGACTTAACCCACCTCTTTCTTTGATGTTAAAAAAAAAAGGTCTCGCAAGATGCTTAATACTTATTTCTCCTACTGTTAATGTTCATGCAGTTGGAAGTTGTAGAGGAGACGGGGTTTGCATATGAAAGTCTTTGCTTTACATCCTGTTGTGACGACAAAAARCGGAGAACAGAAGACGAGTCGGTTCTGTCGATGCTGTTCTCCTGAATGTTCTCGGTTCTCCTCTGACTGGTGCTGATGCCTGCTCCTTAATGTGGCGAGGTGGAGTGGGAAAGATTAGGCAAGTTTTTTTTTTTTTTTTTTTTTTGAAGGTTTCAGTAATCCATTTCAAAGACACGTGATCAAAGAACAACTCGGCAACGTGCGCTAGTCCTCCGTTGCTTTTTGCGTTAAATCCTTCGGGAGGATTTGCTTCACATTGCGACCTCTGTTTCTTTTACCGACCTCCGTRTTTTAGCCACTTCCAAGAGCACACAAATTCAGAGCCTTGGCCTCGAGGTAAATCTGCTGTGTGACAAAGCCAATAATCTTATTCGGCTTCTAAAAATTTACTCCCCTGTGCCAGAGGATTACATTCCATGGCCGCACAATTTCAAGCAATCCCCCTACAAGGTGTAGGAAAGGTAAGAGCTGAAGGACAGTTTAGTGGGTTCTCTGATTTAAGTGCRTCAGTGTTTTGGCAAGAAGTGAAGCTGATCAGTGGAAGCTTTTAAATGAATATATGGGGTTGATTGATTCACTATCTTTGCTGTCTGAAACAGATGTTCAGGTTGTGGAAACACATGTTTACATAGCAGCTGCGTTTGCCTGTATTTGAAAATGTCTTCAGCTTTTCTTAGGTCATTTCTTGCATCTATTTGCTAACAAAAGCAAGAGCCTTTTGGCCAGTGGAAGTAAACCTTTTTTTTTTTGATTGGTTATCTTTCTTTTCTTCAATTAATTTGCGTTGATAGCAAAGAGAAACTCTTGATTTTCATCTGCTTCTTTTATTAAAATGCCTTGTCATATTTGATTAAAATAATAAGGTACACTAATTTCAAATTTGCAAACACTGCACACCGACTCGCTGAAGAAAATTGTCAAATTGATTGCACAAGGTCAGTGTCTCAATTTGTTTTGTTTTTTTTGTTTTTTTATTGAAGTAAGGTGCTTTACAGTTACAGTAATCAGTCTTACGGATTTTTATTTTTATTTTATTTTATTTTTTTTTGTGGAGGGAAGCGAAGGAGCGAGGAAAAAGTCCACAGAGAAAGTGCCTTTCCTCTTGATGGTGCTGTATAATGAAAGTAAAAATGTAAAATCAAAGAAATAAGAATTCCTCAGTGCAGGATGGGCTGCATTTTACACAAACTCACTTGTTTATTTTTTAGAGATGGCAATGCAAACGTGTATTTTGTGTAATTTAGACTGCAAGCCTACATAGATGTAGAATAATATGCCAAGTGTATGGTGTTGATTGAGCTATCGCTTTTTAAAAATGTTTTTTTTTTTAAGTGCGTTTAGTGTATTGGACCAGTGGTTTGTTGGTACAGTGGATTGTGGATCTGGGTGGGTTTACAGGGATGGAGCATGGTGGGCATRTTTGACACAGGGACGGCGTGACCCCTCCCCCCTCGCCATCCCACATTTGACAAACACAGCACAGCACTTTAAAAGACTGCCACTCTCACTCAGACACACAGCCAAGAGGTTTCGAACCCTGTTTCTTCATTTCTCCACTTCTCTATCCAAGAAGAGGAGATCCAGACCTCAGCGTAAATAAGTCGACGGGGTGTACGCAACCAAACTTTGCAGTCGGCCATCAAACGTGTGCCTCATGCTCTTCTGTCGTCGACCTGGACCTGCTCTGTTGCCACTCTTGTCACAGCCAGAGCACGGGTATCAGAGCAGGATTAGTTTGTACCTTTTCAAGATGTTTCAGGGCTACAAAATATTGAAGCAGCTTTGAAGCCTGGACCTTTTTTTTTTTTTTTTGATACGGTGCACACTCGCAACGACAAAAACAATTTTTAACTTTTCTCTCGCTTTACGACAGCAAATCTGTTTCAAAACGAAATGAATTTCAGTCGAGACTTTTAATCTGTTTCATGTTAGTAACCTYACATTTAATATACTGACATAAAAATAACCGGTCCAGTGTCAGTACTGATCCCCAGCCTTAGTAGCAGTCCATGGCAATAGTTCCCATCGTAGTGCAATGCCCTGCCGTGCGTCTTGTCCCTGATGGAGGGAATATGTCCCCAGCGGTATCTTGTCCTGAGCCGATATGCTGTCGACTAAAAACACTGAGGACCGTCTGTAGTTCWGTGGGTACCTTTTCAGTCCGGAGGGTTGAAATCCTTTCTTTTACAAGAAATCTCAAAACACTGCACCTCACTTACCTTGGTATGCTGCATATGTTATACTACATGAAAGAAAACTGCAAATTGCTTTTATTACATATAATGCTTGAGTAATGCCTGATTGCGATATTCTTATACAGTAACTAATTTAGAGTCAAAATAGGTATAACTGTAAAAAAAAAATATATATATATATATTCTGTTTTTGTCTTAACACTTATCCAATTTTGAAATATTGTTCTTGAGCCGACTTTTATTGTCCTATTTAAATGTGTTGTTCTTTGAGTATATATATATGAAATATAAGCGGATTATTTTATGGTGTATTTATTGAGAGTACGTCGAAGCGGCCTGGAGTCTCTGCATCGTTTTTGCAGCATGGTGGGGGCGGAGCAAGGAGGAAGAGGCCCGTGTTAAGCCCCTCCTCCTACTTCATGTTGATGCCTTATTCTCTTAGACATGCAAGCACAACAATACAGTGGGGATATTCGGGGTTTGAGGGGTGTAAGAGCGTGGATTTGACTTGTTGCACAGTCGTACGTCTGGCTCTGATACAGTATRTACAGGTCAACTCTCATCCTCGATGTTTTTTTCCCCCTCATTTTCTTTACCCTTTCCACTTTGGTTTAACCACGTGAGRGGGTCAAACTCCCCACATGCTGCAGCTCATCTCTGACGAAGGGAACCATTTGTGAACCACGCTGACCTGAGTGTCGAAAAGCTGACTTTTCATCCCAAGCTGCTAATTGGTACGTTAGCCATGTAAATTCCCCGAGCCAGTACAGGACAAGTGGAGGGTGGAAGAAAGGAAAGAAAGTTGTTGGAACGGCAAATATTTTTTTAATTATTATTATTTTTTTATTTTCTCTTTTGAGTAGGCTTAGCTTCTTTTCCTCAGAGTTTGTCTCCTTTTTTTTTTWAAAGTTTTACCTTTCTTGTGCCAGAACATTTTTACAACAGGAACAGGTCTCATTCCGCAGGAGAAGACATGCCTCAGCCTTAAGTGTGTTCTTACACAACAAGTCAGAATTCTCTGTGACCTTGCAAAGCCTTTGTTGGGTGGCCTACCAAGAAACCTAGCCTATTGTACTTGATCTGTCCTGACTCCTAACTGGCATCCTCATCTCTTCTCACTTCTCATGTAAACCACTATCATTGTTGGAGAACTTTGTGACAAAGTGTAAACTGTTAAATGTTGCTCCATCTCATCTGTTTTAATGTAAAAAAAAAAAAAAACAGGTCTGGGTCAAACGGCGTTTGGAAACCATCGGTCTAGTTGTTTTTCACACACAGTTTGACCTGGACTTTAATAGAACCCACAAGGTTCCTCAGAGTGCTGGATTACAGAGACCTGTGCCTGTAATAAGAACCAAGAATGAATTGTGTTGTGATAATTTTTTTTTCATGCTCTTGTTTTTACTGTTGGTTGTCCTTCAGCCCATCAGACGATCAGAGACATGGACCTTTTTGAGTGTTGTCAAACATGTTCCAAAGCGAAAAGACCCTTTGACCTTTTTTTGTGAACCAAATAGTTTTTGGTCTATAAATGTTTAACAATATGTTTACTCCCATGGCCCACGTAATTTTTTATTTTTTAATTATATTTTTTAATTTTATTTTTTTGTATTTGCATTCCAGCAGATTTCAAACCAAATACTGCAGAAGAGATTAGGCTCCWGATGCCGATAGTTCACACAAAATGCTTTGATGGCAGATAAACAGTGGCCAAGGATTTGAAACACTTTGTGTTCTGATTGTTCAAAAAAAAAAAAAAGAAAAACAGTTTTCCTTCATTGTAGCAATCTAAAGATCATGGGCTCTGATACTTCTGAGCGAGGCACCAGCAAACAGACGTAAACGTTGAGCAGTCAACACAAACTGATCCATGTCTCAGTATTTAGCAAAGGCTCTGTTGTACCAACAGCTCTATTCCTTTCAGTTTTAAATGTCTTTCTTTTGTAACTCTCCTATAGTTTGTTGGCCTTTTTAGTGTTGCTTTGCTTCAGTTTGAAGTGTATCTTTGACTAATACTTGCAATAAAATGCTTTGCTTTACCTTGGTTGTCACCGGGAGCTATTTGTGAGTCTGGACTGAAGTGTTTAGGCTATAAGCCTTGAAAAAAAAACCACAGATTTATGTTGGCCCGTCTCTGTTACACCTACAGAAGAAATAAGTGAATTCAGACATGTCTGAATGTAGGAAAAAGCCATTTTAAATGTCAATACCTTTTTTATGAGAGGTAAATGTTTTACCTCACATTGATCCAAAAGTCTGGCACCCAACCCAAACCCTAGAGAAGGAAAATCACATCTTTGCAGTCGGCAGTTGATTAATCATTAAAACACTGATCAGACTTCATCAGCAAGAGCTGAAACAATGAACGCAGTCATAATCTGGAGCGCTTAGACAAAGAACGAGGCGTACCACCTGCCTGAAATCAGCCGGACCCACTGGTCCTGTTCATGTTATGTGAATCCTCTGCTTGGCTGCAGGTGGTTTTCCTTTTGTGTTTTTTTTTCCTGTCAGTATATGTTGATGCTTACAAACTGTTCTTGATCTCTAACCCTTCCATCCCCTGACACAAACTATTAATGTTTGTACACGAGGTTTGCTCTCATAAATCCCAACACGTCAGACTTTAGCACAGGTTAAAGCCTTCAGTGTGTCTGGAAACACCAAAGTGTTTAAAGGGTATTAAATTTATCTGGCAAAATGGTATTTGGTCACAAAAAGGCCTGTTATATACAGAGTTGTAAAGTTACTAAGTACAAATACTTTGTTACTGTACTTAAGTATAAATTTTGGTTAACTGTACTTTACTTGAGTAATTATTTTTCAGCCTACTTTTTACTTTTACTCATTACATTTTTAAACAGTTATCTGTACTTTCTACTCACTACATTTTTAAAAAAGGTAAGAAAGTCGTTACTCCTATTTTATTCTGAGTTATTACTTAAAAAATGCTATCCTGATAAATTGTCTTCTGGATAGAGTGAATTTAATTGTGTTTGGATGAGTGTGTTTGGACGGTGCGCAGCGCTGTGTCTTCTGAATAAATGAAAATGATTTAACACAGTTGTTTATACTTTTAGCAGCTATTTTTATTCCACAGCTGACCTGCTAAAAATGACAGATTTTCTTTTCTGGATCTCTGACAGACGGACTTCAATCTCTGAACTCGTAAAGTTTTTATTTTTTTAGTTTTCGCTGTCATTTTTCATGAATGGACACTTCCTTGTATCTGAGGCAAGGAAACAGCCTTATATGATGTTTTTGGGGTGGTAATTATGCTAAKCTCCTCTCGCGTGCACGAGCACCTGGATACGATCGGGTGTAATTTACGCAGCTCATTTACACACTTTTCCTGAAGATAGAAGAGTTTGTTGAATCTGACGTGACATGTTCGTACGAACCCTTTGTACGAACAAAAGTAAGAGAAATTTAGGATAAGAATACGAACATGTTCTTGCATGAGGCCCAATGTCTTGCTGAAATGTCCAGCCACGTTTCATCTTCATCATCCTGGTAGATGGAAGCAGATTTTTATCAAGAATGTCTCTCTACATTTTTCCATTCATCCTTCCTTCAATTATTTGAAGTTTGCCAGTACCATATGCTGAAAAACAGCCCCACACCATGATGTTCCCACCTCCAAACTTCACTGTTGGTATGGTGTTTTTGGGCTGATGTGCAGTGCCATTTGACCTCCAAACATGATGTGTATTCTGGCATCCAAACAGTTCAATGTTGGTCTCATCTGACCAGACTATATTCTCCCAGTATTACACAGGCTTGTCTAAATGTTGTGCAGCAAACTTTAAAGGAGCTTCAACATGCTGTTTCTTCAGCAGTGGAGTCTTGCGTGGTGAGCGTGCATACAGGCCATGGTGGTTCAGTGCATTACTTATTGTTTTCTTTGAAACAAACGTACCTGCTAATTCCAGGTCTTTCTGAAGCTCTCCACAAGTGGTCCTTGGCTCTTGGACAACTCTTCTGATAATTCTTTTCACTCCTCTGTCAGAAATCTTGYGAGGAGCACCTGGTCGTGGTCGGTTTATGGTGAAATAATGTTCTTTCCACTTCTGAATTATGGTCCCAACAGTGCTCACTGGAACCTTCAGAAGTTTAGACATTCTTCTGTAACCGATGCCATCATTATGCTTTGCAACAATAAGGTTGTGAAGGTCTTGAGAGAGCTCTTTACTTTTACCCATCATCAGATGGTTCTTGTGTGATACCTGGCCATCATTTGGGACTGAACCAGCTGATATTAACTTGCACTGACAAGGGGCAGGCTTGCTTTCTAATTACTGAGAGAGTTCAGCTGGTGTCTTGGCTTTCCATGCCTTTTTACACCTCCCTTTCTTCATGTGTTCAATACTTTTTCCCTGTGCCATTCCACATTATTACAAATAACTTCATTTCTGGACATTTATGGTTTGATTTCTTTGTATGTATGGATCACTTGGGTTGTTACYRACATCTGGTGAAAATTTCATGTCATTWGCACCTCTAGTAATAAATGTACTGAGAAAAATGGTGACGTGTTCAATACTTATTTTACCCGCTGTGTGCATATATTTATATATATTATTGTTGTTATTAGATAACAGGTGCCCCCAGGTCTTGCAGCCATAGACCCTGCACAGGGCAAGGATCATCATCATGAAAAAACATGAGTAGGTGCTACTTTTAACAGCTGGAATTACACAATAAGAACGTTGAGTTAAAAAAAWTGCTCTGATCATGTTTACATTGGAAACACACAAAAACAACTCGCTATACACAGAGTGGTTCACACAAACAAAAACACATTTGCCAGTGGAGAAGGTGTATTGCAGGGGATGGGTGGTCTTTGTAAAATGTGTGTGTTTGTGTGTATGCAATGTAATGTAAGCCTGTGCACCACAGACTAGGTAACATTCAGCCATTGTCCTGATAGATGGAATAAAGTTCATCAGTCGGCACTGAGTCTAAGTTGAAGTCACAGGTGTTGATAAGGGGAGGATGAGGAGCATCTTGTTTGCACACCATCAGGGAGAACTTGAGATCGTCAGTGCACCAAAGCTGAATCATGGAGCCAAATGCAGATGGCAAGAAAATGTTTTCAGTCAGGCAGACAATATTTTTTCTTCTGCCTTTAATGTCTGCTGGTACATCCCAAGGTGGTGAATCCAATCAGACATATTGGTGTGGGCATTCCYGCCGAGCCAAGCTATCAACTTCTCCAAGATCGACTCCATCTGGCCCAGTGAGTTCCAGGGAACGCAGCCGGCCCGTGACCCTCAAGAGCTGCTTGCAGACTGTGTCTCAGCTCACACAGGGCTAGAGTCTGAGTGCTGATAGGACGGCACATCCTTTCATACTGGTCAGGCAGCTGAGAAATGGCCTGAATAGCTTCCGACGCTGTTTTACAATAYGCCAGGTGACCACAAGTCCAATCAGCAKAAATCCAGTGCTCAGAATCCAAAYATGTATAAAYCTTCAGCATCYTCCAGGGACAAAYCAGCCAAGCCTATTAGTTTCCACATCCACAGGAAMAAGGRTATATCYAGCTAGTTGTCCCAGTTGAACAAATGTCCCCCCTTGACCTGACGACCTATGGAAGAAATTTGATCCAAAATGTCATTAAGAGACTAGCTAACCAAATCTATAAAACAAACAATAGCATATTCAGAAAAGTATGCAAAGAAAACGCTCCGCGACATAACACACAGCAAGCAGGGGAGGTAGGAGAGAAGGAAAAAATGTATCTATCCACCTATCCATCCATCCATCCATCCATCCATAAATGACAGAAGTCACCTATGGACCACATCTGGCCCGTGGGTCTGCAGTTGCCCATCCCTGGTTTATGAGAAACGTTTGTTTCTGTGGGAACAATTAGAATATTTTACCATTTTTTAATATAATTTTGAAGACAAAGCAACTGTAAGCGTAGTAATTAACTTTTAAAATAAATTTATAAAAGAAAACTGAAAAAAATTAGTATTTACATGTTGATTTTGTGGTTTTTTTTCTCTTTATGCCACTCTAATGTAGTGCTCACGGAGCAGATAGGTGCTCTGTTCCCACTGATTTCGCTCCTGCAATTGTGTAACTGTTTAATTCAGCTGAAACCAAATAAAACGTTGTTTTGACACATTTAGAAAATCAAAATATTCCAGGAAACTGGAGTCACATCAAGCAGCATAATGAGAGAACAACAACCCCACAGCGAGAGAGCAGCGCCGAGCTTCAGCATCATTAAAAATGTGGAAAATGGATCCTGGTACCAGATGCTCTGCAGGGTGGGACTAAACACTGATTGTGTTCGCATCCTAACCGTCGGTCCTCGTGCGCCGAGCTGCATCCATTTGACAAAATAATGGTGTTAATTTCCCTGCATCATTTTAAATAAGGACGAGCCTCTGTTTAGGCAAACAGATCTCCCACTGCGGGTCTAAATGCAGCTGTCAAGAGTTCTTCCTGCCTGAAAACACAATCGCTGGTGATGAAGCAGCAGCTCTGTGATCCAACCCACAGCTGAAGGCCTGATCTACACTAACGAGAAAACTAGAAAATAAAATGCGATGGAGCTTAGCTCATATTACTCAGTTACAGATTTGTCCAGCCAGAAAGAAAACAAAAAGATTCTACTTATAAGGAGACACCCTGGATTTTCCGGGAAAATGAGCTGGGCTGATGTGTGTCCCTTTGACCTGCGTCCTGATAAGATGCAGATGATGAATGGCTTTTCCAATAAAAATAGAACTCTAAAGCAGATCTCAAGCATTTCACAAGATTTAAAGAAGTGTTGGTGTAACCAGGATGGAGAAACGTTTCAGGAGTGATTTGTGACAGAAAAGTTGTTCAAAGGTCAAATGGAAAAGGTTTACAAGAGACAGAACTGGAAGCAGAGCTGAAGATGTTGAGGTTCCACTTGGAAGCAAGAAGGATGGAAAAGATTAGGAATAAAAATCATCAGAACTACAGAACACGTTGAACCACTGGGAGGGTTTGGACATGTCCAGAGGAGGGACTGTGGGTTTGTTGGTAGAAGGCCAGGGAAAACATAAAGAGGAGATATATGGATGCAGTTAGAGAGGACATGGAGGTAGATGGGGAGAAGATAGAGGACGATGACTCACTGTGGAGACCAAAGACAAAAGAAGAAAAAGCATTTTTGAAGTAATGCGTTTCATCTAAAGTCCACTTTTTTTGCATTTTGTTGTGGACTCTGARTCTTTAGGAGGCAGAAAAGTCGAATTTAGTTTCTCCTGGTGCTGCAAAGATCTTTATATTCTGTTTGACTCATATTTTTCAGCTCGTTCAGCTTTCTCTATTTTCCATGAAGTTTTCTGAACTATTATGCCAAATAATCTGCACCGGAATTACCATACTGTATACGGTTTGGACTCATCAGATTTCCTCATCTTAACTCTCCTCTGGTTCTGGGTCAGACTCTGGCTCCAACACGTAAGGCTGGACGGACATATCTTCTGTTGTTGACATCTTTCAATTAAATTGTAAATAAAATGTTTCTGTATCGCTAGAAAATGTAACTCTGCTCTCAAACTGGAGTGGACCGGTCTGGAAGCAGGAGGGGCTTGAAGTGTCTTAAAGGAACAGTAACAAAACCAGCTGCTTTGAGACAGCAGAAAATGGGTGAAAGAGGGGCTGGTGAAGTTACAAAAAGGAAATAGACCAAAGCATTGTAGTTCCACTTTATAAAGACCCCAACGGACTGATTTAAATGTGAAAAGGAAGGATTTAAAAGCATCTTATGTAAAAATGACAGAGCTGTAGCCTCTTTGGTCAAACCTTGAAAATAGTTTTATAATGAKACTTTATGCAACATTGTGAGATATTACGCTCCAAGTGTGTGTTGTGATTAACTCTCAGCTGCAACTACAAAACATTTTAGTTTAATATCTGTAAAACAGTTGACATACATATAGCCATGTACACTCACCGGCCACTTTATTAGGTACACCTGTCCAACTGCTCGTTAACACTTAATTTCTAATCAGCCAATCACATGGCGGCAACTCAG